TGCACCTATGGATGAGGACAGTGGGTGGGGAGTGAGGGTGGAGGGTGGGGTGGGAACTGGGAGGAGGGGAGTTATGGGGGGAAAAAAGAGGAGCAAATGTAATAATCTGAACAATAAAGATTTAATTTAAAAAAAAGAAAAAAGACAAAGGATAAAGCAAATGATATGTTGCCTATTATGGTAAACTTACTATACTATTTTGAAGATTTAAAAAAATTTAATTGTAGTAAAATACACATAAATAAAACTTACCACCTTAACCCTTTCGAACATGTATTTTTATTTTATTGTGGTAAGAACACTCTACAAGGAATCTACCCTCTGAACAGATTTCTAAAGGCACAGTATGATATTGTTAACTATAGGCAGTATTGTACAAATCTCTAGAACATATTCATCTTGCATAATTGAAATTTTATACTTGTTAATTAGCAACTCCCCATTTCCCCATCCTCTCTGCCCCTGGCAACCACTTATCCTTCTGCTCTCTGCTTTTATGAGTTTGACTATTTTAGATACCTCAAGTAAGTGGAATCATATAGTATTTGTCCTTCTGTGACTGGTTTATTTCACTTAGCATAATGTACTCAAGCATCTTAACCATTTTTAAGTGTATAGTTCAGTTAGGTGTATCTAGGTTGTTATGCAACCAATCTCCAGAACTCTTTTCATCTTGCAAAACTGAAATTCTATATCCATTAAACAATTCCCCTAACCTTTACATAGCCACCATTCTATTTTCTGTCTCTATAAATTTGCATATCACCTTCCCCAGCTTCTGCCCTAACTGAATTTTCTTTCTCTACTCTATACCCTAGGTACTTCACAAGTGGAATCATAAAAGTTTTTTTTTCCTTTTGTGCCTGGTTTATTTCACTTAGCACAATGGTTTCAAGGTTCACCCATTCTAAAGATTATTTTTAATTGATTTTTTTTTAAGAAAGAGGGAAAGGGAAAAAAATGGATGTGCCTTCTGCACACCCCCTACCATGAATCAAACCTGCAACCAGTGCATGTGCACGGACAGGGACTCAAACCAACAAGCACTCAGTCCACAGGGCGATGCCCAACCAACTGAGCCACACCGGCCAGAGCCAGAATCCCCTTCTTTTTTAAGGTTGAATAATGATCCATTGATAACACATTTTGTTTATCCATTCATCAGTCATTGGACACTGGGTGCTTCCTCCCTCTGACTATTGTGAGTAACGATGCTATGAACAGTGGTGTACATTTCTTAAGATCTTTCTTTCAGTTCTTTTGAATATATACCCAGGAGTGGAATTGCTAGATCATATGGTAATTCTATTATTTTTTTAGGAATTGCAATACTGTTTTTTCCATAGCAGCTGCACCATTTTACATTCCCACAACAGGACACAAAGGTTCTAATTACTCCACATACCAGCCAACATTGTTATTTTCTAAGTTTTTGATGGTAGTCATTCTAATGGGTATGAGGTGACATCTCATTGTGGTTATAATATGCATTTCTCTAATAATTAGTGATGTTGAGCATCTTTCATTATAATATACAGTTTTTACTTTTCCTCATATTCCTTAACAAGAGCAAACATTTTTACTCTCATGGATACCAAACACAAAAAGCAAGACAGAGAAACAAACAACATCCACAGATAATTTTACAGCGATAATTCTGAATACCTGAATATCTGAACGTAAGTCTTATTATAACAAAGAATCAGGAATGTTCATCCTGGCAGATGCTATAGGTGACCTCAAGCTTAATATGATAATAATACTGACACAGTAAATAAATACTGGGACTAAAAGAGATCAATACCTTTCTTCCTTTTTTTTCTTTTTTTCTACAACTTTAACATGTGTCTTTTTATGCTAGAAAGGCTTTCTGTACATAAGTCTTTGAAGATCTAAAGTGAAGTTTTCTGCATGAAAAGGCTTTCTAATGCTCTTCAACACTATTCTCAGATCCAAATACTAGCATATTTCTTACTAAAAAAGAAAAACAAATTTGTGTGGTATATTTGAAATAAGATTAGAGCTCTAATTTGAAGTCTGTTACTAAGTAGGTGTGTGGGCTTAGACAAAACATTTAACTTCTCTGGACCTCATATTTCTCATCTATAAAATGGGGAAAAAATAGATTCAAGATTACTCTGGTTTCTCTTCAGATGGCATAAATCTTTTTTGCCTTTTACTGAAGATTTCCATGGAGAGGAACAACAAAAAAGATTACTGGTGAGGTCCTATTGATTTTAAAGCTCTATGAATCTATGAATCTGTCATTTAATCATTTAAAGTTCATTAAAAACATTTTTTGTCCTAGCCAGTATGGCTAAGTGGTTGGAATGTCAGCCCACGCACTGAAGGGTTGAAGGTTCAATTCCCAGTCAAGGACATGTACCTGGATTGCAAAGGAATCCCCCACATGCGGGAGGCAACCAAACGATGTGTCTCACATCAATGTCTGTTTGTCTGTCTGTCTCTCTCTCTCTCCTTTCCCCCCCCCCCCCTTACTTCCTCTCTCTCTCTAAAAAAAAAAATCATTGAAAAATAAATTCGCAGGTGAGGATTAATCAAAAACAAAACAAAATATTTTCTTAAAAGGGGGTGAGGGGTAGGTAGGAGAGGATAAAGGGGGAAGGAAACTTGACTGGGGGTGGTGAACACACAATACAATCTACAGATGACGTATTATTTATGTATTATAGAATTATACCCCTGAAACCTATATAATTTTATTAATCAATGTCACCCCAATAAATTAAATAAAAAACAAAATAAACAAAAACACATTTTAAAAAAATACACACATTCTAGCCAGGCCAGTGTGGCTCAATGGTTGAGCACTAACCCATGCACCAAGAGGTCACTGGTTAAATTTCAAACAAGGCACATGTGGTTTTGGGTTCAATCCCCAGCAAGGGTCATGTAGGACGCAGCCAATTGATGTTGATGTTTCTCTCACATTGATGTTTCTATCTCTCTCCCCCTCTCCCTTCCTCCCTCTCTAAAATCAATTTAGCCCTAGCTGGTTTGGCTCAGTGGATAGAGCACTGGCCTGCAGAACAAAGGGTCCCGGGTTGGATTCTGGTCAAGGGCACATACCTTGGTTACAGGTTCCTCCCCGGCCCAGGCCCTGGTCAGGGCTCGTGTAGGAGGCAACTCAATCAATGTGTTTCTCTCACCTTGATGTTTCTCACTGTCTTTCCCTCTCTCTTCCACTCTCCCTAAAAATCAATGGAAAAATATCCTCAGGTGAGGATTTAAAAAAATAAA